TTTTTTTTTTTTTGATTTTTTCGAGACAGGGTTTCTCTGTGGCTTTGGAGCCTGTCCTGGAACTAGCTTTGTAGACCAGGCTGGTCTCGAACTCAAAGAGATCCACCTGCCTCTGCCTCCCGAGTGCTGGGATTAAAGGCGTGCGCCACCACCGCCCGGCTCAGTGGGGTATATCTTATAAGTGATATATGCTGTGTGTTTGGTGTGTGATGTGTGTATAATATGTGCGTGTATGGTGTGTGTGTGTGATATGTGTATGGGTGTGTTTATATGTGAGGGGGTGTATGTGGGGGATATGTGATGTGTGATATATGGTGTGTAATATGTATGTGTGGTGTGTGTGATATGCTGTATGTGTGGTGTGTGTGTGTATATGTGTGGTGTGTGTGATGTGTTGTATATGATGTGTAGGGGATGTCTAATGTGTGTGTGGTGTGTGTGTGATGTGTGTGTATGTGTGGTGTGTGTAGTATTGTGATGTGTGATCTGTGTGAGTATAGTATTGTGGTGTGTGATTTGTGTGTGTAGTGTGTGTGCGGTGTGACCGTGCTTCACATAAAGCAGCTGTGAACACACCTAGGCTTCCCCAGGGCAGAGTCCATGATGTATCAGATGTGAGGCCCTGGGGATCTGGAGAATGAGCACTGGAGAATCCATAGCTATATCCCGCCGTTCTCCACAGTCTGGGGCAGAACTGTGTGTTCCTTAAGGGTGGGGACAAATTCCTTCCACATGTTTTTGTTTAGGTTTCTTCTTAAAGTGCCATCAGGATGTCCAGGGACAATTGTCTCTGTGACTTATACCGTAACAGCATTGTATTATTCCTCACCTTACTAAGGTGGAAGGTGTGCATTGAGTCAACATCTCTGCATAGCTGGGCTTGCAGAACTGATTGCTTTTTATAATGAAAATAAATTGGGCAGTGAATTCTCCTGTAAGAATGGAACTTCCTTCTCACTGGCTTGCTTTCCCTGCTGGATCAGGCATAGTTGGTAGTCGAGAGCTGTGGAGATGGAGAGGGCTCTTCCCAGCCCCTTAGGGTCTTAGGGTCTAGCTTCTGCGCCCTGGCCGTGTGGCTTCTCCAACTCTATGCTCAGCCATTTCTGCCCAGCACTGTGCCTGTGCAATTCTTGCCTGCTTTAGTTTCCACAAACTGAAATCTAAAAGAAAACAGAGAGAATGGATGGACTTAATTCTGCACAGTGCGGTGCTTACTTAGTAAGTGTGCCTTCTGCCCACCAAGGAAAGAACGTGGGCACCAAGAGAACTACAGACTCTAATCGATCCCTTTAGTCATCACGACAAAACCTCTTATCAAGGGGCATTTTCTTTTGTATTTAGAAAAATATATATTTATTTTGTGTGCGCTTGTGTGCACGTTCATGCATGCTTGTATGTTTTTAGGTGTGCATGTGTGAAGGCTGTACTTCAGGTGCAATCCAATTTGGTTTTGAGACAGGGTTTGTTATTTGTCCAGTTTGGAGCTTGCCAAATTGCCTAATCTTGCTGGTCAGCAATCACAGGGGTCCTACCCCTCACCACCTCTTCCTGCTGCAGGCTTATATGAACTACATCTAGACACTCACCCCCAGGCCTGCCCCATACATGAGCTCTGGACCATCAAACTTGGGTATTCATGTTTGCAAGACAAACACTTTACCAGTTGACACATCACCCCTGACCACTTTTGGCTTTCGCTATTAAATTTTCCTTGGTTATAGTAAGTCAAAGAATCTCCAAAACTCTTCCATCCCCCTCTGCCTGCCTCTCTCTCGGCTGCTATTGAACTCTCATCATCTTGCCTTAGCCTCCTGAGTCCTGGGATTACAGATATGTGCCATTATATCTATTTTTTAATTCTTGGTTATCACCTTACTGTAAAATCGTCTCTCACAGGATATTAAAGCTGCCTCTAGAATATCTCCCAGCATCCTTCTGGCTATCTTTCAAACAGTTCTCTTATGTGATAGCTAAAATGAGTTTCAAAAATATGAATATTATATTCTTTGCTCAATGACTTTTTATATCATCCTCACCTTGTATTCCTGTCCCTTTCCTGTGGCCATGTCTTTCCTCTGCCATGTTTCTTTATACTATAGGACCTTTGTCCATGTGGTAGACACCACCTAGAAAGCCCTTCTGTTCTTTTTCCCATGGCTGCCTTTCTGTCCTTCAGGTTTCAAGTTAAATGGCATTTATTCAGAAGTACAGAAGTGGAACTATAAGCCATAAAGCCCCCCCCATCCTCAAGTTGCTTTGTCACTGTGGTGGTTTGAATAAGAATGGCCCCATAGGCTCAGGTACTTGAATGCTGAGTCACCAGGGAGCTGCACTATTTGAAAGGATTAGAAGGATTAGGAGGTGTGGACTTATTGGAGGGAGTGTGTCAATGGGGGAGGACTTTGAGGTTTGGAAAGTCCGTGCCAATCCCAGAGGCCGCCCCCCCCCACCTCTCTCTACAGATCAGGGTGTAGCTCTCAGCTACTGCTTCAAAATCTGCCTGCATACAGCAGTTCTCCCTGCCACGAGGATAATGGACTAAACCTCTGAAACTGTAGCAAGCCCCAATTAAATGCCTTCTTTTGTAAGTGCTTCCTTGGTCATGGTATCTCTTCATAGCTAAAGAATACTAACCAAGACAGCCATGGTATTTTGACACAGAAATAAGAAAAGTAACTAACACAGAAAACTTATGTCAAGAAGTGGAGCTGGCCAGGCAGCGGTGACGCACACCTTTAATCCCAGCACTCGGGAGGCAGAGGCAGACGGACCTCTGAGTTTGAGGCCAGCCTGGTCTATAGAGAGAGTTCAGAAAAGAAAAAGTGGGACTATTGCTGCAGCTATGTGGTTCTCAGGCCTTTGGCACAAGTTTGGAGGAAGAATGTATAACAATTTGGGACTTCGGGTTAGAAAAGCCATCAGATGCTCTGAGCAGAGAGTCACCGTTGTTGTAGAAGTTAGAATTACAAGAATTCTTGGAGAATAACACAGTTCTTTTCAACATGTTTTTATTTGCTTAAATTAACAAAATATAGGTTACACGCCATTTCCAGGAAGCAATATTCACAACTTGGGGTGCTAGACCCTTGGAGGCTTAGTTTTTAACTGGCAAGCCAAAATTCTGTATAAAAAAAGCATTTGGTGTGATGTTGTCCAAAGATATGAAGGATTTCAAATGTTAGCTTGGTTACATTTTGTTTCAGCAAAGTAGACAAAGGTCATAATTCAAAACACAATGTGAATATTTTATTGACTGTATTTGGGACTCAATAAATACAGAATGCACAATGAGCTTTCTCTTGCAGCTACATATATCCAGATAGACCCGTTAGCTCCTTTTGGCTTAGCAAAAGTTGACTCCAGTGTCAGGGCCAAAGGAATATCCACTTTTTTTTTTTTTAGAATGAAAGAGAAATACAAAAGCAATACAGAGGACCATCATAAACCTGAATAAAAAGGATAAGAGGCAAATATGACACATGTCTGGATTGTTAGTTGGTTCAAAGTGGCAATGGTCAAAAGCCTGGAAAGTATTCTACTCTGATCCATTTCCAGAATTCTACAATGAGACAAAGAACATGGCTTTGCAGTGCTGGTGACCTTGGATGGTGTTATTCTTTGGTTTTCTGAGGTGGGCCCCACGAGCCCTACTTCAGATTTCTATCTGATTAATCACATCATGGATCAAGGTTAGCCACACCTCTTCCAAAGTCAGGAAACTGATCAAACATACTGGGGTGCCTCTGAGAAGTAAGGAAGGGATACCTTGGGCTAATAGTTGTAAAGGGGGGCTACTGCCTCTTCCACACACGAAACCTGGGCCTGACTTTGTTTATGCATCAGTGTTGGGTTGGTTAAAGCCCACTAAGTCTTTTATACCTGGAAATAGAATCTAGAGCCAGGATTAGCATAGGCCAATCTACATTGTGGTTACTTTCCCGAGATCTCTCTTTTTCCCTTCAGGAAATCAGGATGCTAACACCACACAGAGGAAGCCTGCTGGAGTGACAGGACCTAGGGACCAGGTATCTCCTTCCCTTGCAGCTCCAGAGGGCCCTGTGATGAGACTTTCCACTCTCCAAAACATGCTCGTAAACCACCCCCCCCCACACACACACACACTGATTCCTCAAACAGCCCCAAAGGGTTTGTTTGGGATAGACTAGATTCTGCTCCTCCAGATTCTCCTGGCTCCTTCTGTTCCAACAGGACATCCCCAGAAAGCACCTGGAAGCATGTGGAACTGTGAGAAGGCACAGCACCTAGTAGGTCCTCAACTCTTGGTTCCGGAATGAAGCTTCCTTGGCACTTTTACCGAAGGCACCTAAAAGTTTCATTCATACTACGTGGAAGGAATCTGGCCAATCTGAAGACCTGTAACAGCTCTGTGTCCAGAGTGGTGCTTGTGGCCATAGAAACCCAGGCCGTTCTCTTCCTCATCCATCCTTTTGCAGATGTTGTGACCTCGGGGTATGCACAGGTGGAGTAGGAAACGCCAAAAGCTTTTGTTTTTCACAGCGGCAGTCATGACAGAAGAATGAATTTTAGGATGTTGGCAGGAGACATGGGTGAGAGGTTCTCTGAGTACAGGAGTGAAAAGATGAGGGTCATGGAGAAGCAGCTTGGCTGATGGGGAAAGCCGCATCCGGATGGAGCTAGACTGGATCTTCTAAAGGAATGTGCTGGGCACTTTGGGAGGAGAGGCAGCAATGCAGTCACTAGAACCCGGCTTTACCAAAAACGTTGGCACTCCCAACCAAGAGGCGGGTTTTACCCGAGCACAGTCTGGCACCTACCATGACTCAGCGACAAGAATGCAATGTCCTGTCAGTGCTGCTTCCCACGGTGGCAGGGTCTAAGAAGGTCCAGCTGAGAGGCCAACACAGCCATCATAAAGCTCACAGGCCCTGCCACAGCAGTTCAAGCCCCTGGGCAAGAACGAGAGTCAACATGTATCTTTCCACACGCTGGGGGCTACAAACATCACAGGCCTTGTCTTCAGGTGCACACACGCCAAATCTACGTCCACAGTGTGTGCGTGTGCATGCGTGTGTCCTTGGGAGGGTGACAGAATAAGAACAAAGGCAAAAGTCAGCATTGTGGTTACAGGTCTCCTGTCCTCTTCAGAGAGTCTGAAGTCAAGATCAGAAATAGGTAAGGGCAGTGGGAAGGCGCCCCAGCAGACACAGAACTGGGGGATGTGAGAACTCTGTGCTTTTTTAAGAGGCACCTAGAGGTGATCTGGAAACTCCCAGTGCTGGGGGGTGGCACTCCAGATGTGTTAAAGCCAGAACCTAACAGAGCAAGGCCCCACCATGGGTGGATTTTGCTTCTTTTTCTTTTTCTCCTTCCTTCCTTCCTTCCTTCCTTCCTTCCTTCCTTCCTTCCTTCCTTCCTTCCTTCCTTTTTTTTTAAAGTTTTTCCTTTGTAGCCCAGTCTGATTTCAAACATGAGGCAACTCTCCTGCTCTGGGATTCTGGGATTACATCTGTGCGCTCCCATGCCTCGCTACATCAGTGTTTTCTAGAGCTTCTTCTGGATGAGTCTCACATGTAGCAAGCTCTGAGATCACAGCTCAGGTCCTGCTTATAGCATTAGTGGGTGATCATTCATTTACCCTAAATAAGTCAAACTTGTTTTAGGGAGAAGTCCTGAACCCCATTTCATAGCCCAAGCCCTACCGCTCACTGTGGCAACTCGCCTTTCAGTTGCTCCTTGGAGCATGAGGCCTCGGAGTGAGGTGGCAATGATCTCTGTGAGGAAGCTCTTCTTGAGGCAGGGATTTGGTCTGAAGATTTGGGACCACCAAGCATTGTCCAGACATCGATGGGGGTGCTCCAAATCTCCCACTGACCAGTGAAGCTGAGGCAGAACAGAGCAACCAACCAGGCATCTAAGAGCTCAGTCGAAATGATTACCTTCTTCTGAAGCCCTAGCTCACATCTGCAGGAACTCCTTGAGAACAGCCTCCCCTAAAGACCATCTCTTGCATCATTGCCTGTGTTTCTACTGTTTAATAGAGACTATTATTCTATACAACTGCTAATATTTTTGTCTATGATATTGTAACCTTCAAATATGCAACTAAAGAGTTATGGCTAAGGTAACATGAGCACCACAGTTCTGCAACTAGAAAGACATTTTACCCTATTGCATGTTAGAAAAAGACAGTTTCTAGAAGCACCTTGAGGTTCAGCTTGCAGTTAGGTATCTAGAGGAGAGCTCTGTTCATCATGTGGGTGGTGTGTAAAATAACACTGAGGGGCCCCTGCACCTGTATGAAATTGCCAAGTGCCCAAGGAACGACCTGAGGAGCTTTTATGTCACCCGCACGTTTAGTCTGAGCCATTTGTAAAGACTGGGCACCACTCGCCTGTCCCCAGCAAACGACAATTCGTGCAGAAAGCTATATTTGAACTGCCTAGATCTCATTTTCCAAATGTAATTTCAAAGCTGTCCACTTAGACACCCAAAAGGACTGCTTGTTTTTCCATTTTCCTCTCCAGTAATTCTTTTAAACCCTCATCTCTGTGCTTGAAGTATAAGTAATCGGAAAAAGGGGGGCCCTGCCCACCGCTTTGCAACAGCCTGCTGCCCAGGGGCTCGTCTGTGACGGCGCAGTCTATGTCTCTGCCTTCGTGGTCCTCGCCACTCTTCTCCGGCTGCTCTTCCAGAGCATCCTGGTCTCTGCGTCCTTCCCTGGGGCCCCGGAAGCTCTGCTCCTGTTTGGTGGACAGATCCTCAGGCGCGCAGGGTTGCTGGCTCTCCTGTGCCAGACTGGGGCTGTAGGACTCCGCCTCATAGCTGTTGCTCTCGTCCCCATCCTCTTCCTCTTCCTCCTCCTGGCAGAGGTAGCTCCGTGTGCTGTCCACGTCGGACTGGAACACTGGCCCCTTTGCGTTGCGCTTTTGGGAAAGGTCAAATGGCTCCTCCTGCTCTAGGTTCCTCAGGACAGCAGAGGACTGCGCCAGGACGAGTCGTCCCCTGCCCAGACCTGCAGGACCAAAGCAGAATTTATGTGCCTGAGCAAAGCAGTGCCCAAGGCTCTTTAAGCATCCTGGTTGTCCATTTAATAAACAGGGCAAGGCAGGGAGGGGGCGGAGCTTGATTCCCATTAAGTACATGGTACAGGAAGATCATAATCCATGCAACCCTTTAAGGCAAACCTGGCAACGTATGCCCTGACTTAGCAATGCCTCTACTGCGAATTTAAAATATTAAAAAGTGTGTGTGGGGGGGCAGGAGCACCATATATGTGTGGATTTTTTTCATTATACTGAATATGTAAAAAAAACTGAGTATCTAAATTTTGGTTAAGCACATAAACCATACAATGAGTTATGTCTGTGTGTTACAGAAGGCTACTAAGGATCATACATGTATTCTCTAGATATTTTAAGTCTTTGTGGCATTCTCTTCCTTTTTTCCTTATCAAAAATGTCTGGAAGGATGTAGGCTCAGATCTCAAAACTGGATGAACTCTGAAGTGGTTACTGCGTTTCCTCTTCACTCCTTACGCATTTCTCCTTTTATTTTCACAGACAGCATTAAGTTGACAGCAAATAAACAAAGCAACAACAAAGAGAGTTCATCCTCAAACAAAGACAAACAAACCTAAGCTCTTCCACGTGGTCCCAAAAAGGCTGCTCCAAGCCCGTGGTCCCTATGCACAGGCTAGAAGTTCTCTGAGGAGCTCACAGGGTCCCTGTTTGGGATCACAGATGTCCCTGTACTGGGCAGGGTGACATTTGGGTCTAGAAAGATGGGCTTCCTGATCAACAGAGGGCATAATGGCTCATGTCATCTCAGGTTCAAGGCCCCAGACTGTGGTGACCCAAACCAGACTGTGAGACGCAGCAGGGACCCTAAGGGTTTGAGAAATAGGAAGGGAGGTCTCTAGGATGCAGCAGGTGGCAGGCTGGGGCTGGAGTGAAGAAAGGAGGAATAGGGACTCTGAGGGACAATGACGTCAGCTGTCTATAACTTTAATCCTATCAGGGGACAAGAGAGATCTTTTCCAGCTTCCTAATGATTTATTCTCTCTCTCTCTCTCTCTCTCTCTCTCTCTCTCTCTCTCTCTCTCTCTCTCACACACACACACACACACACACACACCGCACATACACACAAATTTAGCATTTATAGATGAAGCTGCAAAAATTGTTGAAATCTGTTAGTTTTTTCAAAGCAATCACATAGTGATGCTTTCCCTGTCCCACAAAGTGACAGAGCCACTAGGTTCCTGTTAAGATGTGACCTTCAATGTGGGGCAAATTCATAGTGACCACATCAAATTTCTAGATAGTGGACTGGCTTCCTCCTGCTATGGCTGTCTCTTCTACTTAGAAAAATCCGTACCTCGCTTTAGAGGTGACTTGACCAGCCAGAGATCCAGGAAACAATTAAAAAAGGAAGGCCATCTCAATAAATAAAAAAAAATTAAAAACAAACAAACAAAAATCAGCTCCTTTTAACCAGTATTTTTCAAAGTTTTTTTTTTTTTGCATAAACTCCATCCCTTGTTTGTGATGACCACAGCTGCCTGAGTGGGGGGTCACCATGAACTCAAGGGTGTTGTGAAAAACCCCAAGCTATGCTTATCTTGTTTCTTGTTGTGTGTTCAGGTATGCATCTTACACACGTGTGCACCTGTCCGCTTTACTTTGGAAGTACAAACAGGTCACCTGGCTCTGCGTGGGATGACAAACAGATGCACGGTTGACTCAGAAAACCTAGAGCTAGAATCCCAGCTTTGCCTTCAAACTACACTGGTGAGACCTGGTCTCCTCAGACACAAAATGAGGAGAGTCATGGACTCTTTCAGGGACTTGGGAGAAGTGAGTGAGGATGCTGCTGATAGTGTTATCCTGAACTCTGCGTGTCTGTCTTCTCCACACACACACACACACACACACACACACACCAGACACATCTAGAAGGCCTTAGGTGGCCTTAGTCCCTCTGCCCTGTCATTGCCCTGGCTGGGTGCATTTACTGTCTCTTTATTGTAAGATTGGTTGACTGGGTGAAGAAGTGGCCCTGATGCACTCAAGGGACCTGGAATGTAAAGTCTTCATTGACAAGAGCCCAGGACTGAGGAGTTAAAATAAGCAAGAACTTTTCGTTAGTTCAGCAAAGACTCAGCAGGAGAGACACAAAGCCCTGCTCACGTGGAGCTGGGGCAATAGGAAAACCGCCCTTGAGTGGACAGAAGGGAAACATGGCCCACGGCAAACGGACTTCTGCTGGGCAGAGTATGAGGACCCACACTGTTTTCATCGTTGATTGTTTTTTAAAAAATGGAAGAAAAATCCCATGTCATCTAGCAGTATGAGAAGTAGATCTAATAGAGACTGAGTTGGAAAGGTTGGGGTTCAAATCGTGACTCTGGTTCTTTTTCCTTGAGTGCAGACTTTGGAAGTCTCAGATTCCCAACATGCAGCAAAATGGAAATAACAGATATTCTGCAGCTAAGAGTGACTTTGAGGATTTAAAGAGATAAAGCACTCCATGGAGTCTGCGAGACAAAGGGAGCAACAACTGTACCTCTGGCATCATTACTGTGTTCCCGAGTTGCCTCTGTGACCCTTACTTACGCCTGCTCTGCTGTGGCCATTAAAACACATCCCCTGTTTAGGGCAAGAATCACCCCAGCCCCCCCACCAAAGTGCCCCCGTAAAAACGCATCCCTCTTCTATGTGGGCAGGGCTTCCAACCAGGGTGGAGGGAGTACCTTGGGCATGAAGGCCTCGCTCCATCACTCCATGCTTGACCTTCATGTGGCGCGTCAGGTTCCCCTTCAGAGTGAACTTGCTCGGGCAGTAGAGGCACTTGAAGGGCTTGCTGTCGGAGTGCAGGTGCATGTGGCCCATCAGGTTGTGCATGCGGTTGAATTCCTTCCCACACAGCTGTTGGGGACAGAGACCAGGACACAGTGATCTTTTCTAGGAGAACCTGTGTTCTCGTGGGGGGCGGGGAGACCTGGAGAGCAGCGGCCACACCTGCTTGGTGCTATAACCACTGCCAAAGGCAATGCCCCTTGACTGTCAGGGAGGAGCAAGGTAATGCTCAGGCTCCGAAGTGGAGCAGGTGGACTGGATTTCCGAGACACAGGTGTCCAGTATCTCTAAACTCAAGAACCAGAGCTCAAAGCTCATAAATTAAAGCTTGTTTTGTTTCATGGAGGAGGGTCATATAGTCGAGGCTGACCTCAAACTCACTATATGGCGAATTAAAAAAAACAGAAATCCAAGAAAGGAGTTATCTTTTCCCTGGGTAGAGATTTAAAGAAGTGAGATGGTTTTTCCGAGCAAGCATTAAAAATCATGTATCTGTGTGTATGTCTGAGTCTGTGTAACTGCACCTGTGTGCGCCTATGTGCACACATGTGACCAGGCAGCTGTGAGCCACCCAGCACGGGTCCATACATGATGGATCTCAAGAGCGAATCTGAGTCTCAGCAGAAAGAAGGGCACAGCAGTGACTCTGGGACACCTGATGTCCCTTTGCTTCAGGAGAACAATGCTTGGGAGCTCCAGCCCTTCCTTGGTTGTGCTATGTGGAAGACAAAGAAGGATTCTGTGTCTGTGCTTAAACTAGTGTGTTGACTAATGGCAGAGCAGTCCCCTCTGTCCTCAGTCTCTGACGGGCAGTGGAACGGTGACAGCAATATGTGTTGAGAGACACCAAAAGGAAGGTGTGCAGTCCAGCAACCCCTGGGGCTCACACAAGCTTCTCTTCTCGTTGAGAGAGACCTTCAAGACTAATGTGGAAGATTCTAGACTGATTTTCCATTACCAAAGATACTATTTTCTTTAGGGAAGGGCAGTGAAGCTAACCTTGGAAGAATGGGCAGAGCTGGCAAGACTGACCTTGGGAGGCTAGGCAAAAGAATGCTGGCTCTAAGAGGACCCGGCTTGGGGTTGCACAGCAGGCCCAAATAAGCCACATACAGATTATGAGTGGCTGGCTTAGTATTCTTGAATGGTTTGCATTTGATGATTTGAAGACCATTTCTCCCCTTTAATTCCTTGCCAGCAAGAATGAATTTGGTGTCATAGGCAGACCACTAAACTCAGAGTAACTGTAAACCACACACATTAGAAAACGGGGACCCCCCCAAAATCTGGGATGCAGCTTGGCGGTGCAGTGCTTGCATAGCATGTGAACCCCAGCATGGAGTGAGAGGGTAAGAACAAAAAGTGACACCCAAGAAGAGGAAAGAATGAGAAAACGGATCTAATTCCAGCTTCCACGAGAGAAGCCATGCGAGGGGTTGATTCTTCTGTTATCAATACTGAAAGTACGTTTCCTGGGGTTTGCGGAGTTTCTGTTGCCATTGCCTTGGGTGTGCGTGACACGCGACAGGTCCTCAGTTAGAAAGTGGGACATGTTGCAGGAGAAAAACTTAAATAAGAGAAAATCTCTAGTGGGAGAGAGAAGCAGAAAGCTGGAAGACCGGCTCCAACACTGGGCAAGTCCAGACATAGAGAGGTCGGATGCTCCACTCAAAAGCAGACAGACATCATTGAGAGAATAAGATGAAGACCTTCCGAACTGGCTTCTGTGGTTGAGACATTCCTCTTCTGGTTATTATCTCTCTGCTCAGCTATTAGTTAGACTCTGGACTGGCTTGAAAATGCTCCATCAGAGAGATGGATCTGGGGCCGCGCTTAGCTGGTAAAGTGCTTGCTGTCCAGGCCTGAGAACCTGAGCCAAGCGCTGAGTGTGGTGATACGCCTCTGCAACACTAGTGTGGAGGAGGGAGAGATGGGCGGGTCCCTGGGGGTTCACTGGACAGCCAACCTAAGCTGACTAGTGATCCTTAGGTCCCCGAGGGGAGGGAGGGAGGGAGGGAGGGAGGGAGAGAGAGACACTGATGATTCCTGGAAATGAGATTTGAGGTTGATCTATGGCCTACACATGAACACACACACACATACACACACACACACACACACAACCACACACACACGAGTAGTTTAGGCCTTTCTTGAAGGATGTGTGGTGAGTTCTGCCTTGGCACAAGTATCAGGCATCTTCGGGAATCTTTGTAGACACTTCAGCCTACTTCACAGCACGGGTGAGGGACCTGCTGCTGCTCTGGTGAGACTAACTGCTTATGGCTGTCATACCCATCATACCTGGAACATGGGGCCAGAAAAGGCCCTGCAATCTGTCTGCTCCAAGGTCCCACCCATCAATCCTCAAAGGACCCACTTATCAATTTCCCTCGCCACAAGTCTACACTCAGAGGTGTGTGTTCATTATAATGGCCACCTCCGGAGGTTCTGCAGGTTCTTCTTTATGTCCACTTGGCACAAGCTAGAGTTATCTGAAAGGAGGGAGCCTCAACTGAGAAAATGCCTCCATAAGATCTGACTGTAGGGCCATTTCATGATTAGTGGTTGGTGGGGGAGGGGCCAGCCCATTGTAGGTGGGGTCATCCCTGGGATGGTGGTCCTGGATTCTATAAGAAAGCAGGATGAGCAAGCCAGGGGGAGAAAGCCAGTAAGCAGCCTTCCATGTCCTCTTCATCCGCTCCTGCCTCCAGGTTCCTGCCCTGATTTCCCTCTGTGATAGGCTGTTATCTAGAAGTGTAAACTGAAAAAGAAACCCTTTTCCTCCAAGTTGCTTTGGTCACGGTGTTTTGTCACAGCAATAGTAACCCTAACTAAGACAGACAAGCAGCCCTTTTGATCCTTTCTTGAAAACCTAGTGAATTATTCTGCTGCAGATTTTCTGCCTCAGTTCATTTAATATGAAATTTCTTGGGACATTTTAGTGGTACATGGGGATGTTATATTTATATTGAACTTTAAAATTATATTGTCAGAGCTCTGTGAATTCAAGACCAGCCTTGTCTACATAATGAGCTCCAGGACAGCCAGGACTACAGAGAGAGACCCTGTCTCAAAACATAAAACAAAACAAGACATTATATTATCCTCCAAAGTAATCCCAGTAGTCTAAAGGAAAGTACACCGTGGGGCATGACCAGTTAGCTCTCTTCTGTCTGACTGGTAAAGGAAACTAGTTTTTGTCCTGTTGGCAAGCTTAATATTTTATAATCAAGTTACCCCTGCATGTCTGATGGTAGCTATTGGGTGTCACAGTAGAGATAAGTGGAAGCAAGTCAACTCTGAGGTCCCAAATGTGGCCCAGGCAGTTTTCAATTCAAAGGTCACTTCAATTTCCTTTGTAACCAAGCTCGTGATCAGGCACAGAGCTGCAAACATAATACCCTTAATGAGTAGCTAAGCATTAGGCTGGGTGAATATATAAACAAGTCAGGAAATATCATCACCCCATACGAAATCTTAAAATACAGCCATTACTGCTCCTCCTCATCTCCCCATGAGCCGACGCACACACTGGTTTGTAAACTGCAACCCTCAGTGTCAGACAGGTGGAGTCGGGTCACGAAGGACCCAAATGAAGCAACTGTCCTCCATTCACATCTCACTCAGCTTCTTCCTCCACCTCTGACCCCCACCAAGCCCTGTGGTCCTCATCCGCAACACTTGTCCTCCATTGTTCCCGGAAGAGTGTCCTCACATGACTATGCCCAAGTGTAGAGAGCCACTCCTCTTAGACAGTGAAGAGGGATTAGAGAAAGATCCTGCTACTGATGGAGTCCTGGGATGTCCTCGCTGCTGGGGAGGGGCATTAGATTGGAAGGAGGAAGACTGCTAAGGAAACAACAAAACTCATTTTTATCTCGGAGAAAAATCAGTAGCTGAAGTGAAGGCTTCCCTTAATCTTGAGTTGAAAATATAAGTGCCTTCCCAAGCCGGGACTTGGTGAATGACCTAACAAGGTCTGCATCAAAGTGAGAGAGCCATTGGTGCAGGTGCTGCTGGAGGGTTGGAGACTCGACTTCCATTCCCCAGATGTGAGCCACCCAGCAAAGGTGCTGTCTTTTTCAAACATCAAAGGAACGGAAAGGGAATCTTCTGGCTAAATCCGTGCCTGGTGACCTGGGACTGACTAGAAGCCCAACCCAGGATTCATGGGTGGAAAGCAAAGATTCACCATAGACCACAAGCTTTTGGAGAGTCCACCAGATGGCTCTCTGATGTCCAGGATGCCCTTGAAACAGCTGTCACATGTCCTCTTTGCTTCAGCCTCCTTGCTCTGGCCTCCTGGTGCTCTTCCCATCTGCCCACCCCGCGGTACAGGGCCTGGAGTTACTTGCTTCCCATGAGCCCCTGAGGCAGCAGCTGCCACCCAGGTCAGCTGTGGGCAGAGATGGAACAATGACAGTGGCAGCCACTTGGCTGAGTCCAGAGGCCCAGAAGGCCAAGCAGCGCTGGACCTGGCTCCAGTTGCCTGAGGTGAGCTTCAGAGAGACAAGATGCCCCAGGAAGCTTTTTGCTATCCTGAGAGAAAAGGTCAGAGAGCTCCAGCCGGTCCAAGAGAATGGCCTCGGCTCGGCTGCCCTTCCTGTACATTCTTCTCCCACTCCCTCTTTAATAAGAAGGGTGTTCCTTTCCTCAAAGGGAGAGGGAGGGAGGGAGAGAGAGAGAGACTGTAAACTGTCCAAAAGGACCGTGAGAAAACAGGAAACTCCGAAAAGTACAAGAGAAAGCAAGATGAAATCTATTTGTAGACGGGCCTCTGGGGACATGCTAGGCATTGTTAAACAGGCAGTTCATACAGCTATATCCTTCCTTCTGCCTAGGAGGAGGGCCGTGCTGCCAAAAGGCCGCTATCTGGTCACTGCCTTAACCCCCTCTAGGCCAGCCTGAAAACCCTGACCCAGGGGGCACTGAGTCCCTGCAAACTGCCCAGCCTGCTCTCTCTCCTTCCGGTGCATCGAACAGCCAGCAGTCCGTTCGGGAGAGGAAGAATAGAGACCCTTTCCGAGGCAACTGCACCCTCTGCTCCACTCTCAGGCCTCTAGCCTTCAGGCCTCTGCTGCAGAAAAGGCTGTAGATGACCCAGTGATTCATAACTTAGGCAGCTCTGGGCTTCACCCATCTCAAAAGAGAATTTGTCCCGGAAATTCTGGATGGAAGCTTTTCCTGGACAGGCTTCCCAAAGACGGCAGCTGGTTCTTTGCTATTATGGAGTGCAGCCACCACAAGGATAGTATCCAAATCAAGGCCCGTGTGCTTACGCAGAATGTGGGAAGCATATTCGTGAAACATAGCTTAAGTCTACATGCTGGCTCGCTGGACTAACTCCAGCAGGCTCCCAGGAGCAAGGAGTCTAGAAGTCGAGCCAATAGCGAGAGTCCAGAAGGGCAGTCATAAATAAATATATGACATATAAGTGTGTGTGTGTGTGTGTGTGTGTGTGTGTGTGTGTGTGTGTGTGAAACACAGAATGGAAAACTTCCCTCTCCACTAATTTTTCCATCCTGTTTTAATGCTCAATTCTATAGCCAGCGAACATTTCTGCTCATGGGGGACAGCTGTTTCCAGTGAGAACGCATCTGCGCTACAACAGGAGGAAGGATTTATGTTGAGGAGGGTGTTTTAATGGTGAAGATCCCAAGAAATTAGACTCTGTTACTAAAAGAATCTTCCTCATTGTGAATTTGGGGGGGGGGAGGCATGTGAAGCAAGCCTCATCGTTTTTTTCCCCCAGCATGTCAATCATTGGAAGAGACTAACTATCCTCTGTTCTGACTATCACACTTGGGTGTAACTGCCTAAGCTCGTTCCCCATCATCGGTATGTGGCTGGCCAGACATTTGCCTCAGCTGCTTGTGAAGTGCATAGCAACGAACAAGTGGCCCCCATCTCACATCTAACCCTGCCGGTCCCCTACAGCCTTCACCCAGGGCCAGATTTCCATCCCACTCAAAGCAGATAGGAAGCAAAGTCCACAGGACATCTCAAGACCACCCTGCCCTTCCAAGATGTGAACCAACCGGGGCCTTGGACTTTACAGATCTCTCTACCCTGTGGTTTTCATGCACACGGAGGAACCTGCATGACATACAACCCACACATGCCAGGAAATAACGAAGAGTGAGGGTACCAAAGGCTAGCTCAAAGGACGCCATTGTAAGGAAGTGGGGACGAGAAGAAAGAGAACCTGGCAGACTGTTTCTGGAGCTTCCAGGAAGAAAGGGCTTGGTCAAGGTGACCTACAGGGCTTGCTATTTCAGAAATGTCTAAGCACTGGATCAGGGCCAGCTAAGTTTGGTGAGAATGTCTTTTATCTTCTGAATTGTTTTGCCTAATAACAGACAACACTCTCTAGGTGAGGAGCTGTGTTCCGGCCTTCTGAGAGAACCTAAACACCACGTAGAAGGGCCGCCCATCTCCTGTTCTCCCTGTACTGGGTAAACTGTCTCTCATGTCAAAGCTGGGAGTTCACTTTGCTACGGAATCTGGTGACGTGGGCCAAACATCAAGAGCCTAAGCAACCCGAAAGAAAGGGTAAAATAGAGTTTCTGAGCCACACAGCTGACTATCCATGCTCTTGGGACCATGTATGATGTGTCATTGTTGGGGAGGAGAAGGGCGTAGTCATCTGTGGAGGCTGAGAACATGCAGCCAGGATGGCTCACTGCAGCACTAGGACTGGAGGGCACTGCTCTGGGCACTTTCTGCACCCTGGTTCCACAGAGAACTTTCTAGATGCTCGTGTACTTCAAATCCAAGAGATCTTGCAGATCTTTGAGAGTAGCAATGCAGAACTGGCCCAGGAATGTCCCTAGGTCCCACACTGCTTAGACTGGCCCTGCCCTGACTTCCACTCCAGGCTCTCCCCTAGACTGTACGTCTGCACTGACTTACCCTTCCATCTCAGGGGCTACCACCCTCCCAGAGAGATTTTCTCCGTGACCCATCTCTTCATCTCAGGGGCTTCCCCCGAGACTGTATCTCTGCTCTGACCTACTCCTCCATCTCAGGGGTTACCCCAGACAATATATCTGCCCTGACCTATCCCTCTATCTCAAGGGCTTCCCCCATTTATATCTCTGTCCCTCCATCTCAGGGAGGAATAACTCTCTGAGGGATCAGAGGAGATACAGTATAGATGGGGGGAGGGAGGGGATGGCTGAACTGAGTGGGTATGTATTTCTTTAGGGAAGAAACTAAGAGGTAGCTCCCTTTATAAAATAGCAATCATACTCCAACCATCAGTTAAGATAATTAACGCAGTTCGTGCTTGACATCCAAGCAGAAGAGAACCTGCCTGCACCTCCACTAGAGGAGACAGCAAATGTCGGCAGGGAGAGCGACTGTCAACGTGGAAGCACTGAGGAGGTCGACGGAGTGAGAAGGGAAGTGGAGGAGTGTCAGAAGCGAGAGAGAAGAGGTCCCTGTGAAGGTCCGTGACTAGGAACTGCTCATAGGCTTCTTCGTCAGGGGGGTCCTCGGTGTGAGTTACTGCTTTACTTGCTCTTGAAATTACTCGTTCTCTGCAAAGAAGCCATTTGTTCCGTTCCTCACTGGGCCCTGAAAGCGATGCCCCCGTCCGACACTCTGCTTTCTCCCCCTTCAGCTCACACGCTCAAGATGGACAGAATGTGACTTTCAAACAGCAGAGAGCGTGGAGGAAAGAAGGGGACACAGAAGCGGGCGGCAGGAAAGGGAGTGGGGGGAGAAGGCCCCTCTCTAGACAATGTCCACAAGGCCGAGGGAAGCTCTGGTTCCTGACCCCTCACCCTGCCGAGGAGCTGCCAACACAGGAAAGAAGCCAACTTCACAGGGGGTTCCTTCAAGTGGGGGCCACGCTACTGAGGGATGAAAGCAGCTACCCCTCCTGGAAGGAGGGAATCCAACTGCAGGGATATGGGTTTGCAAAAATGAGTCACCCACACTCCAGACAACACACAGTAACAGAAAAGGAAAACTTGGATTTCGCACAGACACACTCAACTGTCTGAATGCAGGAGTCCTTCTTTCCCGCTGCTCTCTCTTCCTGAGTGGGATGGTACCCACCCCTCCAGTCCCCCAACTACCTAGGCCTAAGAAATCCTCTTGAAACAGCCTTGGGAAGCCACAATCTCGTAAGATCTCATGCATCCTCTCAGCTGATATAATAAGAATGAACCAAAGTAGTCTGATACAGCTGTTCTGCAAAGGAACTTAGACTCTGGGTCACGTGGTGCTTAGGGAGAAAGGAAAAAAACTGTAGAGACTGAGCTCACAGTTATTTCTTAGTCCACACAAGTATTTCTCGGGCCCTTTGAAGGACTAGCCTTGGATCCTTTACTACGCTTTCAGAATAATTGGAATTGGCACATAGTAACTACGCATATAGGCTGGGTATAGTATGATATTTAGATTCATATGTCGAACACGTGGTGAGCAGATCAAGATCACAGGTCTTGATATTGGGGTTGCTCAAAATTTTTCTTTTGGAGAAATACTCTATAATAAAGTCTTGATAGCTAATCACCTTGCTGTACCGTGGAACACCAGACCACATTCTTCCCGCCTCACTGCATGTCTGCACCCCTACTAACATCTGTCTCCTTCCCTTCCTCCCCTCCCTGGCCTCCAGCAACCACTGTCTCAGCTCTGTTTCTATGATGCCAACTTAGCTCTTACATATGAGCAAGGACACGCGATATTTGGTTCTCTGTGCCTGGCTTATTGCACTTCACACCCGTGTCCTCCATTTCAGCCTCCATTCATGCTTGACACAGATCAGGGTTTTGGACCCCTTCTCTTCACCTCGTCCTTTGATGTGCCCATAGGTTGCTTCCCCATTATAGCTGTTGCACATAGTTGTACAGCTATCTTCAGAATTAGTAATGAAACCACTGAGTATATCCAGAGACAAAGACATCAGCACCCCAGCGTCCTCTTTGGGATGTCTGCTTTCACATTATAAGGGTTTAGCCCAAGTGTGAAGACAGGAGGAGGGGAGGCAAGAAAGGGATGGGGGGTGGGGTGGGGGGGGGATGTTAGATTTTCAGATTCCTTTCTGTGCCTGCTCATTGGCTTATAATGAATACAGTGCCTGCCTGATTTTTCCACTCTAGACTAGTAGTGCCCCCCAACACCTTCCTCCTCTTCCAAGTCATTCTATTATGCGCTTTCTACACTCAGACTTTTCATGACTGTCTACTCCATCCCCAGCCCAAGCACAAATGCACAGTCACATAAAAAGGGACCAGCTAACAATTGCTGTTATCACATGTGGCAGAAACAGGGGCAACATGATGGATGCAACCTGGACTTGGCCACAGACCTGTGCTGAGCCTCATTCACACCACTGAAGAAACCCAGCAGAAGGCTCGCCAGGGGCTTGCCTGTCCGACATTTGCATAGCCCCGCCCCCCGAGCCCTCCCTTCTTCCCACCTTGCATTTGAAAGGCTTCACGTCAGAGTGGACGATCATGTGCGCCTTGAGGGTCTGCTTCTGCACGAAGCTCTTGTAGCAGAGGTGACACTGGTAGGCGCGGATGTTGGTGTGGATCAGCACGTGTCTCTTCATGTTGGCCAGCAGGGTGAACTCACGCCCGCAGATCCCGCATTTGTGCTCTTTCACGCCCTGTGGGGAGGCGAGATTCAGAACAGTGAGTGCTGACTGTGGGCCAGGCTTTCATGAGTGCTACAGACGGTTCCTCTTCGACACATAAATCCACAGGAAACTTGGAGACAGGAGTGAAGTTCCAAACGACACAACTTTAGCCATGTTAAGTTGTGATTTCCTGGGAAAGTGTTGAGGAGATAATCTACCTTTTGTTTTTTTCCTGAACATCATAAATGAGCTCAGCACTAGAAGAAAACTACTGTTGTTTTCACTGTTGATGGAGCCAATTCTACAGCATCAGATAGGAGGATTAATGTGATTTTGGTAAGAGCACTGTAGACTGATACGTGAAATGAGTCTATAATCTGGCTTTCATAATGATTAAAAAAAAATCTAAACTGATATTATCATTTCCCAGAAGGAAGCCAGTGTCTCTCACCAGTTCTCAGTAATGGACTCAAAAATCCCCAAAGAGCCATTCATCCTGGCTTCAATCAATTACAACGAGATAATCGCCCTCTCCAGTGGGTCCCCTGGGTTCCCAGAGGCCATGCTGACCCGTGGGGGCCGTAGCTCTGGAGCCTCCTGTATGTGGTCCAGCTGCTTCTGGTGGAGCATTTTTGGCATGAGACAACCTTCTAAATTGGAAAATGGAAAGAAGGTCGTCTGGCTTCCTCACTATCTATAGAACAGTGTTTCAAGGCTTGCTTGCTGATGCTATCCACTCAGAGCCTTCCCAGGGACTCCCAGATAGAATGTTAGCTTTCTCGGCAACCTTTACTTCCCAGGAAAGTCCAGGGCCAAAGGTGGCCATCCACAATGACTTAAAAACAATGTTAGATTTATTTTATGTGTACGAATGCTTGCATGTATGTATGTATGTATTCCGCCTGCATGCCTAGTACCCGAGGAGGTCAGAATAGGGAATCAGATGCCCCCTGGAACTGGAGTTGCAGATGGTTATGAACCACCACGTGGGTGCTGGGAAGCATGCCCAGGTCTTCTGCAAAAGCAACAAATGCTCTTAACTGAGCCGTCTCTCCAGGCTCCATAGTGACTTTTTGATACAGGGCTTCACTACGTTGCTGAGGCTAGTTTTGAATTGCTGGGTTCCTGTTCCAGGCTCCTGGGTAGCTGGGACTACAGGTGTGTGCTGTTGTTCCAGGCAAGAGACTTTTAAAAAGAGAATCAAAGAACCTTGGCACTAAAATGAGGATTAGAACAAGTTACCAAATTAACATCTCAAAAATCCATACTGTCTGGTGTCTATAAGTGGCCTAAGGAAGGAGATATTCTAAATTAGCACTGACCCTAGTCATATTCTCACTTATTTAAGCTGGAGTGTGTGTGGTAAGAGATTAGCACTTTTTAGTTTTGGTGAGCCCGAAGCACTAAAGGGTGGGTTCATGTTTCTGTCCAATCATTTAGTTACTATGAAACCTTGAAGTAAGTTCCATGGTCTTTCATGGTGAAGATTTATCTTCTCAGGATGAAGTGGTGGGGGCTGGGCCCATAACTCCATTGGGAAAGCACTTGCCTTGTATGCTTGAAGCCCTGGGCTGGAGCCTCAGCTATGCATAAGCCAGGTAGAGGGGTACACGATGTCCAAGCATTCACAGTGCTCAGAAAAAGCCAAGCCTAGCAAGGCACGTCTGTAATCCTAGCACTAGGAGGCAGAGAACGGGGGAAGCCCGGAGGCTCACTGGTCAGACCCTAGTCAGTTGATGAACTCCAGCTCAGTGAGAGGACCTATTTCAAAAAGATAAAGTGGAGAGCCGCAGTAGGCACCTGACACTGACCTCGGGCCTTTCTGTGGGCATTTGCAGACGATTGCACATAAACACAAAACAAAAAAGTGAATGAATAAATAAAGACTTGTGTGCTGGTGCTGGGGTTCCTGAGAGACCTCATCACATCCCGGTGTGTTCACTTTCAGTCGGAAGCAGACCTCAGTGTCCCTGAGAATCAGCACGAATGAGTTGGGAACCACTACTGCTCACTGTTTGCTTATGTCGCTACTGAAAACACATTGTGTTTACTGATTCATAGGAAACATATGTAAGACAATAGTGATTTTTTTCCCATTTGAGCTTCATTTTCTGTTGCCTTGCAGAATTCATATGGTGGAAAATCAATAACCTTTGATTCCTTATCCACATACGCAGGCATCCCTGAGCTAAGCCCATGGTGCCTTTATGGCCAAATCTAAGTCCAAGTCCTCTGCCGGTGGTTCCTGCACTTGGCAGCCATCTCCCCTCTGATGGTGTCTATAGGTGTCCTTTGTCCGGCAGGATATATATATCTCTGCCGCAGAGCCGGGAAACACTGTGTGTTTTGTTCTAACCTAACAAATGGAACCCAGGAGACCAAAGTGGCAGCATTATCACCTCAGCTGAGCGGTCCGCTCATGACCTTTTGGAAATAAAGGATGGCTTAGAGACCCTGGCTTCCTAGAAGCTTTTCTTGCCAAAAAAAACCACTGAGGTCAAAGGTGAGACTAGAGGTCAGTGGGGGCAAAAGTCACCTTTTGGCATCTCAAAACAGACCCAAGTCAGCCCAGCTAGAGTAAGATTCCAAGACACCACTGGGACTTTGCCTATTTTGGCTTGATGACCTCCAAAGCAACGGTTCCCAAGGAGGCAGAAACTAGAGCCTTGGGTCTGTATTTCTCTGTGAAGATCTGAGCCCAGAGAAATTAAAACCAAATAGAGAAGGAAGCTTTCACATGCTTCCTACAAGAACACCATAAACTCTGGTCCTGAGTGACAAGGACAAATGCTGCTCCAGTTTCTAGCCACCTGAAGGAAGCAGGTCTCACAGCAGAGTCAGCCAACAGACCAGAAGTAGCCCCTGCTTCAGATGGAAAGAGCTCTCGGGGAATCCTCCAGAAGGTGGCTTTCATTGGCATAACCCAGGCTGGTGGTGATCCCTAACCCTGGAAAGAAAATGCCAGGGCTTCTTGGGGGCTAAGCAGAGCTATCACAGCAGCCAGCTGCTTCCTTCATCCTTCCTCACTGCCCTCTCCAAATGTCTGCATTGGTAATTTCCAGGCCCACCTTAGATTCTAAGGCTATTCTGGGAAAGGGGTTAATTGACCGTCTACTGTGGTTCACTGTTGGCTATGCCAAGCCGGGATGGCTCCCAGGACCCAAGTAAGGCGAGTATCTTAGGCAGGGTCACACAGGTTCTCCACATTTTAGGTAGGAGCAGCGAGTGTCGTCCCCAGCTCTGTTCCTTTCCTGGTTGGCGGCCTAGCAGCCTAACCCCCATCCCCACCGGTGCCCCTCCCCATACCTTGTGGGTGAGCGAGTGCTGCTTGAGGTGATGGGGCTGCACGAACTCCATGCCGCACTCGGAGCAGATGTAGGGACGGATGTCTTTGTGTTTCATCATGTGGTTCTGCAGCTGGCTCGGGTACTGGAAGGTCTTGTCGCACTCGGAGCAGTTGTACTGAATGGGGCCGCGATGCGTGGTGAGATGCCTCTTCAGCTGAGCCAGGGTAGGGAAGTCGAGGCCGCACTCCACGCAAATGTTCTCACGCCCGCTGGCATGCTTGGCTTCGTGGGCCTTGAGCTCGCTGGGGTAGGCAAAGCCCCGACTGCACACGCGACAGTTGTGCGGCTTCACCTCGCTGTGCTGCATCATGTGGCGCTTCAGGTGGCTGGTCTGGGTGAAGGCCTTGTGGCACACCTGGCATTTGTGGGGCCGCGTGCCCTGGTGGGTCAGCATGTGGGTGTGCAGATGGCTGAGCTGCTTGAAGAGCTTCCCACAGCGGGTGCAGGCGTGCGGCTTGATCCCGCTGTGGCCCAGGATGTGGGTCACCAGGTTGTACTTGGAGGTGTAGGACTTGTCACAGGTGGGGCACTGCCAGCGCTTCTGAGCCCCACCCACGTCCACATAGTAGCTGTCATCGATCTGGACGTTCACATCCACCCTTTCCACCTTCTGCTTGGTCTCCTCGCTTTCCAGGGGCTCGACTTTCCGGGGTAACGCTGGCTCGGAGGGCTGCTTGGGCAGGAAGGCGTGCCTGCTGAAAGGGAAGGGTGAGGACGAGGGCATGAAGAAGGGGAACATGAGTCCCGGGTGGACTTTGGGATAGTAGGGGAAAGGCGGAGGCAGGAAGGCAGGAGGTGTCGGCTGGGGCCACACGGCGCTGGGCTTCACCGGCTCCTGCTTGACGGGTTTGCCCCCCAAGTGCTCCAGGGTGCGGTAGAACTGCAAGCCCACATTGCACAGGTCAATCATCTGAGAGTCGCACTTAGGGCGCTGTGGCTGCGGGAAAAGCAGAGGCAGGTTCGGAGGGCCCAGGCTCTTGCTCTCCTCAGCAATGGCGGCTTCTTCCGCCGGATGGTTGTAAGGCATCTTTGTGGGCATGCTCTTCCGTTTCCGGGACCCTCCTCCCTCGAAGACCTCGGGGAATCCATCAAGGTCTCCCGGAGGAGGTTCATAGCGAAACTGGGAAAAGGGGCCCCGGAGAACTTCAGGGAAGAGGTGTCTTTGGGGAACCTTCCCTCGGGGAGCTTCCGGCTGTAGGCAATGCGGAAAGGAGGGGACGTTCTTTGCGGCTGCGTTGAAGGGCCCATCCTCATTCTTGACCATCTTCATTGCCTTCTGCATCTTTGGCAGGGTCCCTTTAAAGAGAAAGAAACTGTTGTGTGGTTTTGCTTTACTTTGTTTTCAACCTTCTTGTCAGAATTAGGGTTTGGGTTACGGATCAATACTAATACTTATAAAGAAATACTTTATAATACTTATAAAGAAAGAGTAATACTTGTTTATTTTGACCCCCTGGGTTCGTCTAAACTCGGCTGCTAATGTGGAGAACACTGGCCAAGGAGAGTGAGATCCGAGGGCCTATTGTAAACTACAGAACCATAGACCTTCGGTACCGTAGAGGCTGGGAGTGGATCTGTTCTGGAAGAAACCTGAACACTCATCTGTCCCTTGTGTTGCCCCCTTCTCCTCCCTTCTATTTACGATGAAGGTCCCAAGGCCCCTGGAGATGGAGCGATATGTTTAATCCACACAGCTACTCGGAGGAGGAGGTGGAAGAGGAGGAGAAGGAGGAGGAGAAGGAGGAGTCAGAACTAGACGCATTCTGTTGCAGCTGTCAATCTGAGTTGTGGTTGTATCTGTCCAAGATGTCGTTAATGTGCCTCATCCCCCCGTTTCTTGCACCTGAAAACCAGTTTCCACCGCTTGTGCTTGGTTGAGTCTGTGCTGCACGGACTAGGCTGTCCAAAGACTGAAAGGGGCCAGACTGCCTGTCATGCTGAGCTAGACATCCTGTGGATGAGCATCCACACTGAGCAAGGGAAGCTGCTGGGTAGAGGAGACCGACATGAAGAGGAAACGTATGGGCATTTCCATGTTCTGAAGTCATTCTGACAGCCATACATTCTAAATCTTCAATCAGAAGCAGTTTCAAGTGGGGGGATTCCAATGCTATGAATTTCTAAACCCACACATATGTTTTTCCCTTCATGCAAGTTAAGACAAGGCAGTCTGTGGAGCCTGCCGTGTCTCCCACTAAGCCAGATACCACACCATGGTGGCCCTTTTGGGCACTGCTGAAAGAACCAGCAGTCTGGACCAAGGACACATTTCTTTTCATGCATCTCCTTGCCATTTCCCTTCCTTTTCCGTAAGGACACTGGTAGAATAAACCAGTGGCTGCTTATGTCTTTTCAGCGAGGCTTCTTGTTGCACAAACCCTCTGAGTTTTGGTGGTCCTCCCTGCTTAGTAGAGGCTCTCAAGGAGATAGTAGGCCTACAACATGTAACAACTGAACTAGAGCTACTGGATAAGGGGCTGAAATCGGGACATAAAGTGGCTGGAGGCTGTGGCTCAGAGTGTAGGATGAGATGGCTGGAAGCATCTGCTCACTTCCTAGAACCTTTGGTAAGACATTGAGCTTTTTATAAATATTCAGACATTCTCAAATTATGTGTGGGATGTTCTTGAGACATTTGAGAAGTATAGTGCAATTAAAATAAAAATGGGTTTTTAATATTTGATTACCAAAACAATCAGTTGAGGGAGAAAAATCTCCTTATTATATAAATATTTAAACACTGTTTAAAGCTCTTCAGTGAATTGGCCTGAGAACTGAAATAATAATAACACTGGTGATGGTGATGGTGCTGCCCACTACACTTATTTTACATTTAGGAGGTAGGAGGATGGCCTCCTTTGCTGTTCTTTCTTTGGGCTTGGGCCTTAGTAATTAAGAAAGCAAGCTTGTGTATCCAGCAAATGCAAGTCCTACTTCCTCACAAAATTCTTATTTACAAAGGGCAAGAGCTCTAAGCACCGCCAGACAACTGTAGGAGGTGACAGGGTTAGAGGAGGGGAGATGCCTTGCTTTGCGGCTCCAAGAACATGTAGGTGGGCATTAAAATGAAAGTTGGGCCGTGCTGCTGTCGAGTAACACAAGCCCCAAGTGGGGACAGTAGGGGCTCCTTGGGGTCTTCCCATGTTTGCTAGATGGTCAGTAGGTTCCGATCTCTAGATGCGCAGAACTATAAGAGTATGATCTAGACCAAGAGTTTTCTAGATTAGCCTTCAGGAAAAACTATAGCATCTGAAAACGCAATAGTGATTCTCTGGAGTTTCGCGTTAGTCAGAGCTGCTCTCAGAATCCCTTTAGGGAGAGATTCTTTTTGGCGAAGAGGCCAGTGAGACCTAACAGGAGTCTTGAAGGAGGTGAGTGCTATCACTATCTAAAGAGCCTACCCCAAAGCAAAGTGGTTTTCTGTTTTACTCCAATGTGGTTAAAATAAGCAGCTATTCCTAGTTTATACTAGGGAGCTTGATTTGAGAATCTGTGGCTAATGGGCAAATTAGAACATAATGGCTTTTTTGGTGTGCTTTGTTATGCTATTAAGAAAGTATTTGAAAAGTTGTGGCTGGGGATACGTGGCCCCTCTGTTTCTATCACGTGCTCCCTCTTCTATGGGGAATCTACCGAGACAGAAGGCCATCACTGATTTTGAAACAGAAGATGTTTAATTTATTCCCACAGTTATTGTCTTGTTTAATATTTAGTTTGACATTACGAATTGGTCAGCTCCTTTTTGTATATCAATAGTGACGCTCTTAACATAACCCTAACCTCAAAAGCACACACTTGCAGTTTTATGTTGCCTCCATTAAGCTGGTAAGTCAAAGAAATGCTTTGAGCAAAGATGCCACTATTATGAACCAAAATGCCACTATTACGTTGCCAAAGGCAGAGATTTTATGTACATTTATCCTGATATCATACTTGCTTTAATGCCTTAGAATGAATTACCTACAGCTTTGCCTCTCCAATCTCTCATTCCTGAAAGAGTATTTTATGTGCCCTAGAATAAAGTCAGTGACCCCAGGAAGTTTTAAAAGGCAGGGGATCCACCCATGGATGTTTGTTCGAATCTTTAAAACAGCAGGCCCCTTCTGCCGAAGAATCTCAGGGAACCCTGCCAATCCCTACAGAGGTCAAGGAGAATTAACCCTGCTTCCCCCTTGGCCTTCTTGGAAAGCAATCAACTTCAGCTGCTGCTGGGCTTCTAATGCCCCTGGCTTTGAGTGCCAGGTGCTGGAAGAAGCCCTGGGGAGAACAGATCAGCTCAGGAGAGAAGCAATGCTGGGAAGGGGCGGTGCTGAAGGAAGGGCAAGCTCACCTCCAGAGATCATTCATCTTGAACTTAGTCAAGTTACAATTCTGGGTGTCTTCAGAAAAAAAAAATAAATTAATAGACCCTACAACACCTCAAATGCGTTCCACCCACATGCCCGCCTCCATTTCTAAAAATAGATCCTCAGGCATCCAGGCAGCTGCAGGATTCCTGTTCGGGAGGCAAGGGAGACTTGAGAGCCGGCGACCGACTGTGAGACCTGAGTCTGGGAACAGCAGAAATCCTCTACTTGGTGTCCAGAGCGCTGGAGAAAACCAGCAGACCGTGAGGCAGTTTCCCACCTGTTCCGCGTGTGTTGAAACAACACGCAGAAAGAAAGAACTGAAAATTTCAAGCGAACACTTGTGGGAGCACGAAAGGAGGCATCGGTTTGGAGCCTGAGGGGTCTGGGCTTGAATGCTGGGTTCATCAGTGGCTGTGGAAGATTGAGCAAGTTAGCTTTGAGGTCTGCTGTTCCCATCTGTCAAATGGGAGCTTGGATATCCCCATATGGTTACAGGTTTAAAATAGAGTGTGAGAAAGTCTATCAAACAGTGTGCTCTTGAGAGGTAAGAGAGTAGATAGAATGGGAGGGGCAGGGTCCATCATCAGTGGATTGATATTGGCTAAAACTTCTGTTTTCCAAACAGACACTGTCAGTCACTACCGACTGGCATCTTAGCCTCTACTCTACAAGTTCAAAACCAAGGCTTCACTCTTTCAGCCTGTGTTGGTCTCGTCACAGAGGTGAAGATGTACACACTCAAAGGGCCAAAGAGCTTGCTAATTGCATGTAGTGACAGATTTAGAGATTAGGAATACTTCCCCATGTCTCTTTTCCTGTGCTAACGTGTAGACTGTGTAGGCAAGCAGAGTTGAACTGGAGGACCGGGAGCTACCTTAGCTTGTGTTAGAGACTGAAGGAATGTCCCTATCCAACACTGGAGGTCACTTGTCTGGGAAGTCCAAAGCTACAGTTGCCAGGACAGTGCTGGATCAACCCTGACAGACCAGCTTGCTGGGCCTTGTAGACTAGTGGTTCTCAACCTGTGGGTCGCAACCCCTTTAGGGGTTGAACAACCCTTTCACAGGGCTGACCTAAGACCATTGGAAAATGGCAGGTGTTTACATCACATTCATAACAATAGCAAAATTATAGCTATGAAGTGGCAACAGAAATAATTTCGTGGTTGGGATCACCACAACATGAGGAACTGTATTAAAGGGTCACAGTGTCAAGAAGGTTGAAAATCACTGTTCTAGGCAGTAGGGAGTAGGGACCCAATCTGTTTTGTCTGATGCTATGTCTCTAGACTCTACCGTGTGCCTGACTCAAAAGAGCTGCTCAGTAAGATGCTTTGAGAGAAGTTATTGGTTAGTGCTTGTATGTAAAGCCCCTACATGAAGCATAAATGTGCACGATTATCTTACATGATTCAGATTATGGTGTCTTGGTACATGATGAACATTACTGGCGGCACCCTCATGAGTTCTAGGGCCGACCTAGCCCTCCTATACTACCTGCTCTCTTATCCCCCAGAGGGCACACTGCAGTTACTGAAGGAGGTACTGCACACAGTCCCTTAGTGAGCGGTTGGTCCCTGGCTAACCCTCAGATCAGCATTAGCGACACTGCTGCTATTCTCCAAGTGCCACAAATTTCTGCAGCCTAGCCAGGGAACAGATTCCTGAAAAGCCCAGAGGTTATCAGCCTTAGGATCCTGCATGGAGAACAGTCTGTGTGCCCTCTCTGCGCTCCTTCGCCCTTAGGAAGTTAGTCTGCTCTTCCTATCGACGGGAGAGACGACTGTAGAATGCTAATCGCTCAGTTAGTTGAGCAGAGAACAGTTTGCTCTCAGTGCACGCAGACAGCAGACTCGGTGGGCACTGAACCAGGGCGGGAGGGATGGGGTTGACTTGTGCTAAAGCAGTTTGGAACTTACAGTGTCTTCTTTGAGAGGCTGTATTCATG